ACATGGTCAAAACGATCTGCTGCAGTTCAAACGTCAGAATGGGGAAAAAAGGTGATTTAAGTGACTTTGAACGTGGCATGGTTGTTCTTGTCGGATGGGCTGGTCTGAAAATTTCAGAAACTGTAGATCTACGAGGTATTCACGCACAACCCCCTCTAAGGCTTACAGAGAATGGTCCGCAAAAGAGAAAACATCCAGTGAGAGGCAGTTCTGTGGACTCATATGGTATCTGCATACAACAAAAAAATGATAAGGAATATGACGGCATGGTGGCTCAGTGGTTAGCACAGTTGCCTCACAGCAAGTAGGTCATGGTATAGAATAATCAAATCTAAAAGAACACCGTATAATCTTCATTGTGTAAATAATTACAATTAATATTTAAGCAACAAATAATATAGTATCTTACACACAAATAGTTTAAACTACCTTTAAATGCTCTCGCTGTTACAGACCTCAAAAACACATGCAAATTATAAACTTTCTCTCTCAGGTTAAAATTTGTAATTTTAAAAAGTGCTTCTGGAAAAGCTGTTAGTGATGAGCGCTGGCTCATATGACTGTCATAAAGTCACCTGCTTTTGGTTGTGTTTATTTCGACGTAATTTATAGATGTTAGTACTTAAAAAACATTAGTGCATTAACACGGTCTACATTAATGTAATAATAGGGAGTTAATCTTAAATGTAAAAATATATTTGACAGCGTCTACCATATTGACTCACTTTCCAACCACAGCGGATTGAACAACCAAATACTCTGGCAATTGTTTTACACAGTCACAGTGGATACCCTTCCTTCCGCAAACCAGTACTAGGAAACACCTACAGTACACTTGCATTCACACATGCACTCATGGACTACAGCCAATTTTGTTTACCAAATTCCCCTATATTGCTTGTCTTTAGACTGCGGGGTAAACTGGAGCATCCAGTGGAAACCCACACGAAAACAGGGAGAAGATGCAAACTCCACACAGAAATGCTAACTGGTCCAGCCGGGACTCAAACCGGCAACCATCTTGCTGTGAGGCAACAGTGCTAACCACTGAGCCACCGTGCCGCCCCAATTTAATTATTTATTGCACAAATCAATTTCTCTTTTCTTCTCAGTAATGCACATTTGGGATGTTATGTGTTATATGACATGATTTAGTTAATGCAACTTATGCAATATTTTATTGTGATATACATTACCATTCTTAGTGTGCGTTAATACATTATGTATTTTGAGAGCATATTTTAAATGAGAAAGAATGTTAAATATGTTACGCTATAATAACATTGTCACTTTTCAGTGATTTCAATATATTGCTTACTAAAAAGCAAAAAGTAAACATTGTACTTTCAAGATTGCAACTATTTCACAATGCAGTTATGTTTCTGTCTTTATCCCCATAATATAGTCTAATATTGCACTGATACAATTTATGAAACTGTATGACCATAAACAATGTATTTTATGACTGAAATGATAATACGAAACGATAGACTTTTTATTTTGTTCATGGGATATATATCGTTAAATTGCACAGTGCCTAATTCCAACAGGTCTTTAAACATCAACAGGTCAACAAAATGTGGATCTTTGACAATAACACATAGCTTCTCATAAACGACATTTCAAAATTCCTCCCTTTTCCTTCTTTTATTCCTTTCTAACACGCAATGATTGTCTTGATGTGTGGAAAGCGTATGAAAGCCCCGAGGGAATGTGTGTCATCCAGGAGCCACAGTCCTCTCAGACTTCAGAGCGCTGAGGAATAGGATGCTCTCAGACTGACTGTAATGGAAAGCGATCAGCGAGCTCCCGCTTCATTTCAAGCTACACATGAAACAAAAGAAATCCTCAAAGAAACACAAACAGCCTCAGACGAGGGAAAAAAAAGCCAATTGTGAGTCTTAAGTCTCCTATTAAAAGAATATTATACACGTCTCATTTAATTATCTCCTATCAAATCTTTTTATCAATAATATTATTCTTTTTCTAAGCTCTGCTCAAAACGACAATTTTAAGGTTTTCAATTTAAGACAAACATTTAAGGTTGCAGGGAACTAATTACAATAATTTATGTATCATGATTAATATTAATATTAATAAAGATGATAGTTGCTTATTTAACTATTTTATGAATCATAATATTGCAACAAAATTTATATATTTTTTAATTAGGTTCATCATAGGTCAGACAATAAAATATACATAATATCGATACATAGATATACGCACTGATACAATTTGCCAAACAAGAAATTATCATGAAAACATAATTATACACTAAATAAGTAAATAAAAGGTAAAATACCATATTTATACACAAAGATGTACAAACATAAATTAACATAAAAATAAGAATATTAAAAAGCAAAAAAAAAGAATAAATAAATAAATAAATAAATAAATAAATAAATAAATAAATAAATAAAAAGAAAAGAAAGGGAAAAATGCAGTTAAGATATACTGTAGGTGTCTCCTTAAAAAAAATAGAAAAGGGCTCCAGAATATTTCAAACTATTCTGGCTCTTTTGTTTTATTGCAAACCGAATATTTCTATTTAAAGAGCATATAAGAAATCATAAACCCATTGCCGATAAAAAGGGGGAGCTACTGACTTCCAATTTATAAGAATAAGTCGTCTATCCAGTAAAGTTGCAAAGGCTACACTATCGGCCAGTAATGAATTTAATTCAACATATTCTGGCAGGATTCCAAACAGTGCTGTGAAGCGGTCTGGATCTATTGACAATGACAAAACTGCAGAAAAACACCTAAAGACTTTCCCCCAAAAATCTGACAGTTTCAAACAAGATAAGAAAGTATGCAACAGTGGCTGGTTCAGTTGAACAGCAAAGGCAAGTTGGGTCAAGATCAGGGAAAATTGTATACAGTTTAGTTCTAGACCAGTGTATTCTGTAAACAACCTTGAATTGAATGAGAGTATGCCTAGCGTTTATTGATGATAAATGTATTCATGCAAGAATAAGATCCCAGATATTTTCATCAATCGTTAATTTAGATCCTCCTCTCAAAAAGCCCTCAGTACATGTCGAGGGGGACAGTTTTGTGTTAATAATAGCAAAGATTTTAGAAATAACCGCTTTTTAAAGAGGTATGAAGGTCAAGTATATCATCAAGTATGCTTTTATTTGGCCCAATGGAAAAATTAGAAAACCGCTAATGGCTAAAGTTCCTTAACTAAAAGTATCTAAATAAATGAAAAATGGGTTGGTCAAATTTTTCCTGAAGTTTAGTAAAAGATGCAAAATTATCATCTATGAACAGCTGATGAACAGTTATTAGGACATGTTCCTTTCAGATGTTAAGATGTTAAAGGCCCCGTCCATTAAAGATTGTAGAAAGAATATATTGCAATAAAACATATTTTTAACAAAAATAATTTATACAAATTCAAAACAAACTAGAGATCTTCAAAAATATTAAGCATAAATGAAACCTCAAGGGTGATTTTTTTTTTTATTAGGATAAAATACAAAAAGTGAAAACAATAATTTATAATGTTGGTCCACTAAGAAAAGTCAACTAGCTACAATTAAGAAGACTGAAATAGTTAGGTTTGGTTGCAATTTCTCTATCCCCAGTGTTTATGATGTAACACTCGTTCATCACTGAGTAACAGACCTATAATCTGTCGGATTTCACACACTCCTGTACAGCCAGTGCTTAGCAGCCAGCCATCCATGCTGCTCTGCTAAACTGCTTGATTTACAAGTGCCCAAGGGGCAGTTTTGGAGACCAAAGCGTACATTATTAATGGATGTGTAGTGTTGACATAATGCCAGAATCCATACAATATATTCCTGCTAATGAAGCAATTCCGCTCCTATGATAATAAACTGTAAAGGCGAACGTGCAATGAGTAAATAGATTTTCTGAGGCATTCTTTTCTTAGGTAACCAGTTTAAAATACAGGCACAAGAACATAACTTACTCAAAAATGAAAAATCTGTTGTTCACTTGTATTTTATTAAGTACACAAAAGCTGTCATTAAATTAATAGTTTCATACATGTAAAGACTAATTGTTTCCCTTTTTAAATCATAAAAGTATCGTCACTGTGATGAGTATTCATTTAGTTTTGCCTGTATATTTGTTTATTTACTATCAAAGTATCAACATTTGCATTTTATGAACTACTAACAAAAGTTAATCACACTTTGGTTTGTCTGAAGGTTAGTAGATTTACAGCAAATGTACATTTTTGGGCATACCTTTCCCAAAACATCTCCATGTGTGCGATACAAGAAAAAAAATATATATAATTATGAGGTAAATAAATAACCAACTTTTTTATTTTTAGGTGAACTACTTTTTCACACCAAAAAAAAGTCCATTAGGACTGTCTCAAATACATAGTCCAGACCTGAGTCCACACAAAAGTAAAGTTATAGCCATAAAAAATCCACTCGAAAAGTAAAAATCGGTCATGCTTGGCGGAGATGCAGAATATTAAGTTAGTGACTGACAGCCTCAGTCACCATTTGCTCTCACAGAATCATTTTATCCTAATGTTAACCTTATGTTTCACAAAACCGTTTTATTACTGGGTGAACTACTCTTTTACACCGACCAAATCCATCAGGAAGCTTTAAAAACATATTCAGCCCACCCATGAGTGCAAAAATATTTGAGGATGCTCTCGCAAAATATAAACTGCTAGCACACAAACCATAAACAAACCAGCTTCTAGATTCCACTACAGTAGCAGCAGCAGCAGCAGCACTTCAGAGTGTTGTGTTCTGCTTTACGAGAATGCAACACATCGACAATAGTCAAGATGAGAGCTAAACAAGCCCACTCCATCAAAAAAACATTCTATCGCAGCTCCCCGAGATGTGCTGTTTTCTAAGGAGAGCTGGTTTTAGGGGGGGAAGCTGCTGGCACCTGCTGTTAAAACCCACTGCGCACGCTTCTCAGCCTGCAACAAAAGGTCTGCTGATCGCGTTTTTTTCGGCAGCACAGGTGCCGCTGCTGAGACTGACCTGAATGGTGCAGGTATACTCCGTATCGTCCAGCAGTCTGACCGTGCACATGTATTCCCGCTCCAGGTTTCTGACGCTTCCACTCATCAGGCGACTCAACATCATCTCTGCGCTCACGATCAACGCTGGTCTGCGTCCGGGACCAGAACAAAAACCTCCAGCAATGTCACATCCACCAAACTCTCCGGTCGCCCAGGTGAAACGCGCTAACCGAAGCCCGCAGCATCTTTATCCGCTGACATGAACGCCGCAGTTGTTCGGGAGAGTGTTTGGGGTTTTGTTTTTGCGAACAGGTTCCTCCAGCGAGCATCCAGGTCCAGATTAAGTCGCTGTGGTTACGAGCAGACAGTAGCAGCCAGCCCGACTGTTGACCATTCACCGCTTGATATTTGAGCAAGGAGGCGGGACCATAAAGGCTGATTGACGCGCCTTCTAGCCAATGGCGTGGTTCTCCAAATAAGGACGCGCTTGAAATGGACAATGAAAGATTGGGGTGCTGCTGCGTGTTTGGAGGTCATTGTTGTCCAATAAGATGCTGGACAAAGGTAGTAGTGAAGCTACGAAGATGAATCGCTGCCTTTTTTGACTGTTTTTGTTTTGTGAGCCTCAAAAACCATGACTGAGTCAATCAAAAGAAAACGCTTTTATTACTGGATAATGGACATTCATTATCAGAAACGTACATGATCGTTCCTAAAATAAAAACATAAATACAGTGAATAAAAAAGTATTTCATCTCAAAAATGTATAAAATGGACTGATGATTAACTTCTGTGAGGTGTGTTTTGTAAAGAAACATGTCGTTCATTTACTTCTCAGATGTTTGTTCTTAATTGAAAACACTTCATAAATGTACAAACCTTGTTAGATTGTCTTTGTCCAGAGCTCAACTGAACCTACAGCTGTAATAGTTTTGTTATGCTAAAAACTGTTATTTAGAAGGGGGAAAAAATCAGAAATAAGAAGTTTAAGTTGTTATCATTCACATCAACTGATTAAAAACACAAAATTATGAATAAATTCTACAACTAAATACTATTTTACAACTGTCCCAATTAATGTTTTTGTCAGCCCTGTCACATTTGTATTAAATTTAACAAAAAACGTGTGCAATACACTTTTAAAAACTATGACTCGGAAGTAACATCATTTGATGGAGAAGCTGACAGTGATCAAAGAGGAGTTCTATTACTGAATTGTATGATTTTTATAGAATGTGCTTTAAGATTTTTCTAGATGAAAATAATCTTAAAGATAAATTGCATTTATTGAATAGGCCTTTATTAACTTCCTATTTCCAATTTGTTTGCGGAATAGAAATATGTTAAATGTTATTAGATTGCATATTATACATTACTATATTCCATAACATTTACATATTATTAGTATACAATTATTATTATTATTATACAACATTACATTTTAAGTTAAATTACAGTAACATTTTATTATTAGAATGTGCAAGATTTCTCATATAATATAAATTATATAATATAGTAATAACTAAATAATAATAATATCACTTGGTAATTTTCAAAAATATCATATAAGTATTAGAATTACCATATTTTATCCAATACATACAGAAATTAAAACATTTATTTAATAGTTACATAAAAAACAACATGCAATAAAAAGCCATCATTCTTTCAATTTTATTATTGCGCTACACTGTAAAACCCAAAAAGTTAAGGTAACTTAAACAGTTTGTGTAAATCGATAGCAACATATCATTTAAGTTCAAAAACGAATCCTAATGAGTACTGTGAACTTGATCCATTTGAGTAAAAGAAGCTATTTGAACACAGTAAAACCCGATAAATGAAGAGAACTTAAACCAACTGAGTACTGTAAAACCCAAGAAGTTAAGGCAACTCAAATCGTTTGGGGAAACCGATTGCAACAAACCATTTGAGTTATAAAAAAACAATGAATCTATATAAGTACTGTGAACTTGCTCCATTTAAAGTAATGAGGTGTTTCATTAACTCATTGCCTTTAACACTGAGTTGAAAACTTTTTTCAAATGAGTAGAATTAACTTTCAGTAAGTTTTAAGGTAACAACACTCATTTCATTTAATAAAGTTGACTGTTGAGTTTTACAGTGTATGTTAATGACACAGCAGTAGTTGGTTGCAGCAGATTGATTTTACGGCACAATGTTAAACTTTGGCATCTTTACAGCACTCAAGTACATTAAAAATTAAGGCCACCTCTGAACATAGTGGACAATCTCCAAGTGACCAAAATTCCAAATTGACCTCCAAAGTCTCCAAAATTAAACCAACAATAGCTTTGTGCTGTAAACATAGCTCACCATTCTCAATAAGTGAGGTTTCTATTAAACTAAACAAATGACAAATGACTAAAGTATATGGCTGTTAAACTGTTGCACTTTTTTGTGTTGTCAATTGGCTTGTTTATATAGTTCCTACTGGTGTTTGTGCACCGTTGTGTGCAATGTTTGTATGTTTATAACCACCTACAAGGATAATGGGGGCCGCGAGTCACTGGATTTGTCATTTTGGGGTCACAAGCTGAAAATATATCACGGAACCCCTGATATAACACACAGAGATGGATGGATGGATGGATGGATGGACGGCTGGATGGACGGATGGATATAGAGATGGATGGATGGATGGATGGATATAAAGATGGATGGATATAGAGATGGACAGATGAATGGATGGGCGGATAGATATAGAGATGGACGGATGGATGGATGGACAGACAGATGGATATAGAGAGAGATGGATGGATGGATGGCTGGATATAGAGATGGATGGATATATATAGATGGATGGATGGATGGATGGATGGATGGATGGATGGATGGATGGATGGATGGATGGATGGATGGATGGATGGATGGATGGATGGATGGATGGATGGATGGATATAGAGAGAGATGGACGGATGGATAAAGAGATGGACGGAAGGATGGATGGACGGATGGAAATAGAGAGAGATAGACGGATGGACATAGAGATGGACAGATAGATGGACGGACGGACAGATGGACGGATAGATAGATAGATAGACAGACAGACAGACAGACAGACAGACAGACAGACAGACAGACAGACAGACAGATAGACAGAGAGACAGACAGACAAAGTATTCAAACAGACAATAAATTATTTTATAAAAATTATTATTTTCAATCATCATATTTTTCATAAAACATCATCAAAATATAATGGTGCCCTATATTTAATTATTAAATCAATACTTAATATGTAATCAATTTCCTATCCTTACATCTTTTACACAATCCATCCCAAATACACGTCATTCGTATCTGAAATTCAATCACACAAATAATATCTTTAAGTAACACTTTACAGGAAAGATCAAAACATTACACTTGATTTGATTGATAAACATCTGGTATAAATATATGAGAACTTCTTCCTTTCATTTCACATTTCACATACACACACACACACACACACACACACACATTCATTTCACATTTCACATACACACACACACACACACACACACACACACACACACACACACACACACACACACACACACGCACGCACGCACACACACACACACACGCAGACACACGCACACACGCACACACACGCACACACACGCACACACACGCACACACACACACGCACACACGCACACACGCACACACGCACACACGCACACACGCACACACGCACACACGCACACACGCACAAACGCACAAACGCACAAACGCACGCACACACACACGCACCACAATGCTAATAAGTATGCAAAAGTAAACAATTAATGTAAGAACATCCCTTATGCCCTCAATAACAATGTCTTACTGTGCTGGAAAAGTAAAGGAGAGTCACATTGTAAATTCATTCTCATCATTTTCGTCGTTCTCCTCGGGCTCATTGCTGCTCATGGAGGATGATTTGGCTGAGCTCTGCAGTAGGTTTTCAGCTTTTCGGGTGTAGGGTCGTCCTATTCGAGAATGGTTCTGCTGCTGATGATGATGAGGACGATGATGCTGAGACCATCTAATGTTAGACATGTGGTCCAGAGTGTGGCCTCGAGCATCTTGTCTTCTGTCCACAGTCTTCATCTGGTTGAGTTTGCAGGAGGAGATGAGAGGTCTGTCTATGTCCACCTCTCTGCTCTCTGTCAGACGCTCTTTAGTTTGTGCATGAGTATAGTGCAGTTTAGCCCTGATCACCACAGATCCCTGAAACATTGCAGAGATGTTCAGAAAAACAGTGCTTTTTTTTAATTTTTTTTTTACTGTTTTTTGAGTTTCAGATATAATGGATTATTAAATGTTAGCGGTTCTTTCAAATTGCAAAGAGCTACAATAACATTAAGTTAATGTATTTTAGTATGTAATAGGTAATACTAAGACAAGCAGAGACATCTGGAAAAAGAAAGAATTCTCAGTTAAGCTTTTAGAATTCTAATTTAGATTTTGTAATATTGAGATATTTTGAATTCTCTGTTTTGGAATTCGGTTTATATTTTAGAATTCTCAGGTAAATTTTTAAATTCTGTTTAGTATTTAGAAATCTCTGTTTCAATTTTAACATTTCTTACTTAGATTTTAAAATGCTGTTTAGATTTTAGAATTATTCGTTTAAAATTCAGAATGATCAGTTTAGATTTCAGAATTCTCTATTTACATTTTGGAATTCTGTTTAGATTGAAGAATTCACGTTTTAGATTTCAAAATTCTCCAATTTTGTTATAAATTTTTTAAGTTTAGAATTTAGAATTGTCAGAATTATCAGTTCAGATTTTAAAATTGTTACTTTAGACTTTATAATTATCAGTTCAGATATTAGAGTTTATATTTTATAATGATCAGTTTAGTTTTTAGAATTGTAAGTTTTTAGAATCGTTAGTTTACATTTAGGATTATCAGTTTAGATTTTAGAATTGGGTGATTAACTCCACTGTGGGGACTAGGAATGCAGCGATTAACCAGTTTCATTATTAACCACGCTTTAGTTCGTCACGGTTAATTAATCGTAAAGGCTTCTCAACATCGCGTTTCAGCACAGAACAAAATTGCAGCTACTAAACAAAGTTATGCAAACTGTGTGCTAGTTTGTACACCGAGACTATTAACCACGCACACCGGATTAACTATGACTGTGGGTAATAACTAAGGCAAGCTCGTGCACGTTTATTATTTCCAACGCGCTGTCGCGCTCAGACTTTTCAGGTGTTTAGATGGGGCTTTTGTGACCGCAGAAACTGCAAACGGCTGAAGTTTGAGGAAGAATCAATGAAAAGTACACAGGTTTGCAACCTCATTTAAAGTTACAAATATTGATCCACCAGCCGAAATCAGTCAAGTGTTTTGGGAGAGAGTGCAGAAAGACTCAGAGTGGATCAGCTGTCTAATTGCCTGAATCTCGATGCGTTGCATTCACTGCGTGTTCAGCACAAATAGAGGCTAAATGTAAAATCTTACTGTTTAGATCTTTGCCAAAGAAGCTCGACTTTACTAAGTTTATACTGAAACTTCGGCTCATGACAAAGAACAGTACTTTGCAGGTGGTCATCGCGAGAATTGCTGCTCTGCACCGCATATATTGGGTCGGCTGACTCACCTGATTTTTCCCACGAAAAAAATTGAAAACAAGACTGAGCATTTAAAATGACACAAACCGAAACCAAAATCTTTAAAGAGTAGTAGAAGTGAGACTTTTCTTCCTTTCTTTTGTCCGATGTATCTGGTTATTATATTGACATGCGTATAACAACAAGAGTATAAAGTTTATATTTCTTACTGCAATGCTTCATTTTTGTTAGATGCAAACCATAGATTTTTTTTAAAGTAACAGTGGGACTTTTTATAGCACGTAACTCACATTCAAGCACATTCAAGGCAGCATGATAATGCTATTTATTGTTGGTATTATTGTCGTCATCATTATTATTCTACAATTATTAGATATTCATTTTGGAATTATTGCACAAATACCAATAAGTGATAACACAATTAGATAGTGGATTTTGTTATTTTAAAATACAATAAATCTGTAATTTACAATTTGCAGTGATGCTCATTCATTTTTAGTGGGTGCTCCCTTAAGTTAATTTTAAGCCCTGCATTAGACAAACTATTATCTATTTATTAATTCATTGTTCTATCATTTAATAACAGTGTACAATATATTTATGTTTAAATGTCAAATTTTTTTGCTTATTTTTAAGCACAAAGAGAGAAGTGAATTATTTATATTTAATTTAATATTATTTTATGCTGTAT